TTAGTTTCCTACTTGAATGGAGCTGAAAAACACATCAAATCTGTTGCTTGAAGGCAGCACTTGGGCTCTTGAATCCAACGCCCTGCCAAAGCATCCATGGGGAAGGGACAAAAAGTCAAGAAGCAGCCACAACCCTGTGATTGAAGCCCCACACCTTTTTTACAATGCAATGCACATAAATAAGGGTGGGGGCGCCATCTTGACTTTTTTGACCCCTCCCTGCAGGATGCCGAATTAATGCATCCCCAACAGAAAACTACCCAGGCTCTGCTCATTGCTATCAGTCTGCTCTTACACCTAAGTGTTTTTCCTAGTTTTCAGACAGAATTGGCCTTTTTATCGCTTAAGGCCATTAATCTGTGTCCTGCAGTCTCGGAGTAAGAGACGACTCTTCCCCGTGACGGGGAGTCAGGCGAGAACCGGAACTGCTCAAATCAGTCTGAAGACAAAGTGATCAGAACTGAGAGAGGGAGGAAGTGACAAAACTCCAGAAAACATCCATCCAACCAATCAGAAGCAGGTTATGTAGAGATATGCAAAGTAGGTCTTTTAGACAAGGAAAGGAGATATGCAGGTAGAAAGGGGGCCTTGGCTTCATGTCTGTAGTTGTCCCATGACAGCAAAGAGTTAGCTTTTGCCCCCCTTGGCTGCCCATCCAGTGCCATCCAGATTTGCACAGCTGAGATGCAACCACCATGTAAGTGTTGTTGAAGAGCTAAAGACTGAGAAAGAGCTGAAGGTTGAGAAATCACTTCTCTAATTCTAGGGTCAAGTTTCAGCACATACACAACTCTGATCATCCAAAAATATAAGGAAGTCTTCACTGTACAGAGGCACACAGAGGCGTCTGCAAGGTATGGTCCAAAAGATCAAGATGGTGGCTCCACCTGTTTTTTATGTGTGTGGCCAGCATCTTGGACCATATATCATACCCTGCAGACACCTCTGGGCAACTCAATTGCGTATGTTAAGCTTGAGGTGGGCCAGTCAATTTCCCAGCTTCTCAATCCATTGGTGGATCAACCTGTTTAAAATTGAAAATTTAAAAAAAAAGGATTTAAAACCTTCTCCTCCATGTGCCATGGATTGTCTGGATGGGAGATCTTTCATTTTCCAGGGAACAAAAACTATTTCATCCCAGAACACCTTGGGCCAGAATCAGTGGCCTCTGCAGCGGTCTGCCTGTGAGATGCCCAATGGTAAGCAGGACATCTTCAAACTGTAGTAAGAGGCCATGTGGGGGAGCCCATAACTAACTCGGCCTTTGCTATCACTGTGTTATTTCCTAAACAAAACAAATCTTTATTTTCTTTCGGGCAAGCATGAGCTTCCAGGATACTTTCCTAGAATAAAAAAAGGTATACTAAGTTTAGTGTTTCTCTTTACACACATCCTTTCCATTGAACAAAGCTGCCCACTAACCACCATTTGCCTTTTCAGCAGCCATGTCTCACGGTTTTCCTTTATTGGGCTTGTGATCAACTACCATTCCAGCTTAACATTCTAAGCATGTCATTTGATAGACAGAGACTAGCAGACTTCCCATGTTCTTTAAACAGAAAAATCCTTTCATTCCTGTTGTGGTTTCCATGTATGAGTGGGAGAAATGAGCAGAGTGGAGCAGGAAAGATACGTACTATAATTATTAGCAGCATGAGAGCCCTGGATGAATGGGGGCCAGTCATGCTGTTAAGATCTACTGGTCCTCAGACATAGGAGACTAAGAAGTGAAGCTTCTGTTTCTTCAATGCATAGAAGAATCAGTACAGAATATTTGAGCAATGTCTGAAGTACATCTGTCAGTGCACTTGGGCCTAAAGAGTACACATATATGCCCTTAATAGGTGAGCCTCTCATACATATTAGGATGCTAGAAAAATAAGATTAGAGAAGAGAGGATCAATTATCCTGAAGCACAGCAATCCCCCTTCCATTCTTTCAGACAAAAATTGCCCATCTTAGGGAGAAACCCATGTGATATGTTTCTACCAAGCCAGAGATACTGTTAGGTAGAAAATGGAGTTCTACAAATTGGAGCCCCATGTATGTAACTCAATGCACTCTCCAAACACAGATACACCACGGTTTATCCAGGGATTGTTGCTTTACCTATATCTTCCTTTAAAACATCCAACCCCTATCTCCTGATTTCTCTGTGGATCAACAACAAAACAGCCGCTGAAGTATCCTAAATTTGTTCGTAAGTCATGGTGGCATTTGTGAGTTAAAGTTTATCTAAGAGTTCTCTTGAGATAAGATAGCAATGAACTACACGCGAGCTTGGCAGGGCAACAGATGGAACCCAAGACACAGTTGCCATCTCCCAGCCCATATATAGGCATTTATTTAGGGAAATAAATGCCAAGTATCCCAGCTATGCCTGAACAGTCCTGCCGGAGGGAGGGAGGGTAAGAAATGCACCAGTGATTATCCTGGGAATCCATTCCAGTGCCCTTCTGACTGTACAGGAATTAAACATCAACTTCAACAACAATTAAAGAGTAGTTTGAGAATCCAAACAGAAAGCTTACACTATAGCAATATTGTCATTTTTTATGCCAGAGTCATTTACCCTTGGATCACACCATGCACAAGATCTTGTGAGTCAGTAAATCTGTGAAGGAAGCTTTTTCAATGGCTGTCGCCATAAAGAGGCATTTCATTAGCAGAGGCATAAATATTTCACTTTCAAATTTAGCAACTTTAAGTACAGTACTGTAACAATAAGACTGCGGAGATTCTGGAAACAGGTCTCATAACTATGGTGACCATATTTTCTTGGAAAAAATAAAGGACAAACCTGAAAAAGGGACAAACCGGAAAGAGGTTCCTAAGGATAAAATTTTTTACTGGTTTATGTTTATAACTTTGCTTTACAAAGGAAAATTCAAGAGCAAAACCAAGAAAAACTTCACAAAAATGCATATTCTAATAAAAAATATCTAAAATCAAACAGTATATGTAAATTTATTTTTAAAAGACAATTCAATTTCCATATTTTTCACATGAATGTGAAAAACTGAATGAAGAGTTACCATTTGTACAGAAAAAGTTAAATGACCCAAATAGAGGACACAAGTGAGTTTTTGAAAAATAAATAAATCTAAAGGACAGCTTTCTGAAATAAAGGACTGTCCTCTTTAATAAAGGATGTATGGTCACTGTACTCATAACTGAACTCGAAATAGTCCATGTGGTTTTAATTTGTGAGAGTTTCAGACCATAGGGACCATAAGGGAAGTTCCAGCTTCCCATTTATAGCTCTCCAGTATTGTTTCTTGAGTGATTCTGTGAACGATTTCCAGTTACTTTGTACCTAGTGCACTCCCATTCAATCCCTGAATCCAGATCAGAGCAAGCACAGATACCACTCAGTTCAGCTAGCAAAATATAGTTAGAAATTTATTTATGAAACATCAGCACACATCAAAACATTTAACTGGCAAAATGAGGCAAAAGAAGAGAGAGAAAGAAATGAACAACAACAGGAAGGAATAGACATTATTTATATATCAAAAGGCACAGAACTTTCCAAAGCCACTGCAAACAATACAATACTGTGCAGAGTTTGCATGGACAGCCCCAAAGGGAGTGGCCTTTGGTTATTCCACCCTTAATCCTTTTACATACATTGGCAGAATACAGATGGAAAGGAGGACACCAGGTGATCCCTCCTCTATTGGGCACCATGAAGGAAACAATTTGGTGGATGAGGATGATGTATCCAACATTCAATTTCTATGGTGCATTTCATATGCCTATTATTTTTTTTATCAATCCTCTCTCTTCTTTTTTTTATTTCCAACTCAATTTTTATTATTTTTCTTTTTTCCTACTGCCCTTCTTTCTTTCCTATTATTCTTCATGGATGTAACTTCACTGGCAATTTCATGTCCTTCAAACTCTTTCTGTTATTTCTTTGCAAATAATTGTTGCTGTGTTGATCCTTATTTTGCTCTAAAGTTGTCCCTTGTTCTTCTGGATCTTCACATGTTTCTTAAGATACAGCTCAACAAACTGGAATTTCATTTTTAATGACTTAGGGAAAAAAAGCAAATACAGCCAAAGAGCTGAAGTTATTCCAATATATCTGATGCAGTGTAATAAAAATGGGGGGGGGGCGGGGGGACAACCTTGAGAAAATATTATGAAGAGCCTACTTTTCTGGACTGGGGAATAACCTAGGACTAAGTTTCTGCTACAAAATAAGTTTAGTAAATTGTAAGTGTAGTAAATCATAAACCATTTTAAAAAGAACATGAAAAAGTTTTTACACAATGCATATAAAAAGAGGGTGGTCTTTGACTGCACAACTGACTTTTTTGACACACACACACACACACTGTGGATGCCCTGACATTGGCAAGAGTGGGATAAGTCAGAACATCCTTGTTAATTCTTTTCTCGTTTCCTGTTCTTCATCTGCTCTGCACCACAGCAGGCAAATTAAGTGCACTGGTGTAGTATGGTAAAAGTACTGAATCCTTATAAAATTAGAGAACGCACATTATATTAGGAAGTGATTTTGATTTTTAAAAAAGAGGAGCCTAAATTGATGCATGCTGTTAGATCAGTGTTTCTCAATCTTGGGAACGTTAAGGTGTGTGGGCTTCAACTCACAGAATTCCCCAGCCAACCATGTGTCAGACTGATGCACAGCACACCCCCTTATTTCATAATACTGCTCCAAAAATCCCCTGCAACTGATCTGATCTTTGCATTCAGGATCCAGAAACGGAGATCCCGATGCATCTCCTCAGTGGCTGGTGATCTTGCTTTTCATAGGGCAAATCTGCCAGCTGGCTGAGAAGAGCATAATGCCAAACAGAACAACTGACAGACAGGCAGACAGGTCTCTGTCTTTATCATTTTAGGACCTGAAAAGAAATAAATCATCCTGAACCACAAAACAGAGGTCTTAAGACACATTATCGGAAGCAGGGAGAGAATAGGCAGCTCTTGAAATAATGATATTATTGCCTTAGTAGCGGCAGGCTTACTTTCTTTGCGAACATCACGGAGAGCAGCGTTCAGTTCTTCCATAAAGATGGGAGCTTCTTTGGCAATTTTCTCCCCTTTATCCAGCAAGTTCCAAGTAGCTTCTTCCACAGAAGCCAGGATCACACGAGCTCTTTTGGAACATCCCTTTTTCTTCCCGGAAGGATTCTGAGGGCAATTCATTAATGTGGTAACCTAAAACATAAAGGGAATGGCCGTGTTTCACTTCTGCAGTTAAATGTTTTGCTTAACCATGTTAAAATAAGTCTTGATCCACATGGAATGCTAAGCCTTAAACCATGGTTTCCAAACTCCAAACAGGCCAGTCAAGTCCAAAGGAACCACATTATAGCTTTCCGGGATGTGCGAATGCAGCCAGGGTCCAGGGAGAGAGAATGGCCCATAAATTACTCCACTGAATTAATGTTGCAAGAGGTTGTGGCATCCATGAGCAACCAGGATCTATTTAAAGTTTAATTTTGATCCCCTAAACACTTTTAAAGTTATCAACTGATTATTAAAAACTTTTCCTCTGCTATGCTAAGTTAAAGGGAAATGTGGTTTGTCATTTTAAAAGTCTCTTTGAATGAAACTACATTTTTAATTTCTGATGTGTGAGAACATTTGGAGAGAAGTGAAATAGCATTTTAATAAAATAGTAAATTCACAGCTATCCTGAATCACAGAACATGGAGTTATGGACATTTTACTCCATAGTCCTCATTGGAGTTCACTTTTTTTTTATTCTGCTGCTTTTTTCAATAACGTGGTTGCTATTTAAAATTATGGGAAGTGTAACAATCCAGATTTAACAGCAATTCATCATTACACTATTACAACTTAGCTTACTCTTTTTCCTACACCTTCGACTTAAAGGGTTTGATGAACTGAGCTATCAGCGTCTGAAAGCAATGCCTCCTGACCTTCCCGAAGGACACTTAAAGTAGCCTAAGGAAGAAGATGGAGTTGAAGATGAAAGGTAGAGATTACTCATCTATTTTTCTTTCTCTCAAGGACCAAGAGAATTAGGTTACCTAGCTTATCCTATGTTTATTCATTGATCTATTATAAATCTGCAGAGGTTCTTGATTCTCTAAAAGAAATCCTATGACACTAGAAATCTGATGGAAAATTGGGATTTGTGGAGTGTTATCATAGATCCTCATCTTACGCTTAGTCCATGGTAGTACATGGGCTAAGCCATCACCCCCTTACGGTATATTCTTCAAAGGAAACTGAACACTGAGTAAGTTCAGGAGTCCTCATCTGTCAATAGGAGGAGAAATAATTATCCAAGGGCTGGCATGGGTTATCAGTAGATTGAAGTCTGAAGTAGCACAGAGCAAGGATGTAGCCATCTGGTAGCCTGACTACACTCTCAGTCCTCACATTGGGATAGAAGGATAGCGGCAGGCATCGTCAGCCTACCACAGCGTAGACCAAGTATTATTTGGTCACACACTGGGTGTGCGACAGGCTGGCTTCTCGAAGCAACAACCCAGGATCATTTCTAAGGAATCACACTAAATGTGCAACTGCTGATCATTGCTATGGAATTAATCTGGTGGCTCCAGAACCTGCACAAGAAACTATGGCAGAAATCCAGACTGGGACAGATCAGGGCAAAACAAACACCATTGTTATGACTCAGTAAAAATCCCCCTGTCCTAAGAATCAGGGGTGTCTGCAATGGGTTCAAAAAGTCAAGATGGCTGCTGTGACTGTGAGATCAAAGTCTCGCCCCCCTTTGGTGTGCATCACATGCAACATACTTTAAAAGAAACGGGGCTTCAATTGCATGGTCATAGCTGCCATCTTGACTTTTTTACTCCCCCGCCCTCCCCCTGTAAACACCTCTGATCTGGATGCAGAAATCTGCACACGTACATTGTCATTACAGTTACAAATGTAGAGAAAAGTGTAGGGTGTAAAGTTCATTCTTCAAATAATGTTTTTCAGACACAAACTAAACTATACAGTATATGTTTGTATAAGTGTATGTGTATGTCTCTCTCTCCCTTACCCCTGTGGATTGAAACAGTTCAATTATGTGGTTTACATGGATATATTGGGCTCAACAATGAAAGGAACATCAGTTTAATTTCTTTAATTCTCTGTAATGTCAACACATTCATGATCCTCTTAAGTATTACTAAAAGCAATATGAGCAAGAAGAAAAGTCAATAGTCTGGCAGCATGGAAAGTATATGTGGGGTCCTCTTTGACAAGCTGAGCAGTCAGGCTGAGAAAAATCAATAAAAGAGATGGATATTGTATTCCAAACAGAATTGGGTGAAAGATTTACACAATCTAAAGAGAAATCAGAATTGTTTTTCTATGATTTCTCAAGTCCTGTAAATTATGGGTGGTCATGCAAGAATCTCTACATCCCTGGTGGAAGGAGGGAGTCAGTGCTCACTCCTCAAAATCTCTTGTCCATTTTCCATAATACACTTCTCTCTTATAGTGCTAGTAGACCACAGTCTTTCTCTATCCTGGAAGAAAGACCAGATCAAGTGTGTGTTACCCAGAAGACAGGTTTAGATGGCCCACATTTAAGTCTTCTAAGGAGCCTTGGCCTTGACTTCTGGACTGGTACAATGAAGGCATTCCCATAAAAGATGGTAGCATTCAAATCTGTCCATCCTATTCTGCCTGCTCCCTCCTTCTATACCACCCTTACTCAACCTGATGGTGCCCTCTCATTAGCATATTAGATATTAGGATATCTCAAAGATATCAGGTTAGGAAAGGGGATTCTGATTCATTCCACTCCAGTTCCTTTACTACTATTAGTGATCTTTTCAAGCAAGAGTTAGTATGTCATACAAAAATCCCAAGTACAAAAAAAGCAAATATTGGGGCTACAAAAAGACTGCTATGCACACCCCACCATCGAAAAGCCAACAACAACATCAACTTAAAGAATAAAGTCATATCATTCACTCATTAAATTTAAATAGAGGTAACTGGTAACAATTTAATCAAGGTTTTAAAGTTAAAACAACTAGAGAAAGGATAGGAAAAACTGGTTTCACAGTGGCTGCCATGCTAGAATTTAACTTGCTTAGACAATGTTGATTGCAACACAATCCACCAGGAACTTCTGTATCATCACCTCCATGAAGATAAGTGTGGAATAGTGGAATAGTATTGAAAAGAAATTCTTAGCTAATCACATCGCATAGATTCCTAGGGTGGGAAAATGTTAGTCCTTCAAAAGTTGCTAAATATGGCTCCTAGCATGGCTGAGAAATGCTGGCAGTTGAAGTCCACACATCTTAAAGTTACCAAGGCTGAGATGTTATGTTAAACGCTGTTAAAATTAAGCCATTTCAGCCTAGTTACTGCTTGGGTGGGAAACTGCCTTTGGGACCAGAATAAAAAGTTTAAGGAACAGAGGTTAAAAAAACACCAAAGGACCTGTTTGCCCTGGCTATGTGAGGAAAATTGTTCGGTGGGCATTGTAGACAAAATCACCCTAACTTGGAATGACTAGATAAAAATAGTAGTGCAAAAAAAAAAAAAATCCCTATGGTTTAAGTGAGTGGTGACTTGGACTGTTAATTAGCCATTTATAGGCCAGCGTAATTTCAGAGTTTTGTACTTTGATTGGCAGTCTTGTTTAAAAGAGATGCAAAATATGATATATAAGTTCCAATCTGCTTAATAAATTCAGTAGGAACTAGTAAATGACATAGTGCCATAAAGGAAATTAAAACTGCTGCGTAGTGCCATAAAGGAAATGAAAATAGCTGCAAAATTAATTCTACCTACCCAAAACAAACTAAACGGAGATCTGGTTTAATTTTTGCAAACTGAATCATATTCATAGAGTTACAATGACCCGAAGACAAGACCATGAAAAGTGCAACTCTGTAACACAAGAAACCTGAATGTTTGATCACTCAGCCCAATCAGTATGTTAAAAAAGATAACTGTGCAAGCACATATTGGTAGTGGTGGTAATTAGAGGGGGGCTGCGGAAAGAGAGAAATATGGTCAACTGCAAGAATTTACTTTAAATAGAAGCTACTATGAAAGTTTCTCATGGAACATGTGAAATTAGATGATTGAAATATGTCAGAGGATACACGTCCATGCAAACTAGCTTTCTGATTCATCGGCATGTCAGAATGAAAAGAACGAGGTTCAAGATATATCAAGCTTTTAAGCGTACACTGACGACTGTGTAAGAAGGATGAAATATTTTGGAAAGAAATGCATTTCTAACAGGCAATGGCAAGTAAACATAACAGTTCCTGCAAGATTTAAATTATATTTTAAAAATTATCCTATGGGAAAGGAATGCTGAATGCTCTATATTGGGACTCTGCTGGCAAACAGATTAAAAGAGCAGAGATTTTACAGTGGGTCAGGGCTTGCTCTGCAGATATGACTTTTTAAAATAACCTAATCTAATGAAGAAAAAAGCTGATTCCCTGGCATTATGAATGGAAGACAGAAAGTTTTAAGCACAATAAAAGTAACTACCCAGCGTAAATATTACATTTTTTTGAAATATGAAATTGATTGAAGTTAACACTGATTATTCATATTTTTGTGGGAAGTAATTTTAATAGAAACAGCATGACATAATTCGAAGTTCTTTACAAATCAAGCACTGATTACAGCAGGGTTCTCCAGAGTGGTCACTACTGACCCCAAGAGTCAAAGGGACTATCTATTATTATTGTTGTTGTTGTTGTTATTCGTAGTACTATTAAAGTAGTGTTTCTTAAATTATTTTCCTATAATAAATTTTGGGAGTTGATGAACAATCTGACACCTCATGGAGGGATCGATGAGCTAAAGAGTTTGGGGACCAATGGATTACAGGAATGGCCAGTCCTCACTTAACAGATTTTGAGCCCCAGAACAGCAATCTATGTACAGCAAATCAAAACTATTCTTCCAATCCTTGCTTAGGCCATAAAAATAAAAACCAGCCATTTGTTGATATGACTTCCAGGGAAGCATCGGGGATTCCAAATACACAGAGATGCCTATCCACCTAATTCAGGGGTATCTGGGGGGGGGGGCAAAAAGGGACAGGGGGGGGGTTACTAATTGGAACTAAAACTACCCCCTTTTTTTTTTTCCATT